TAAAGAGAAAAGAACTAAAACAAATTAACAAACACACAGACATAAAACAACACAAAAACAATAAAAGCAATACAGAATTTCAGACAAGGTGATAGCCAATTAACAATGGTTGTTGTATTACATATTGTTATCTTCCAGTTGGTTACTCAGATAAACAAATATAAGTATGTAAGATTGATCAAACAATTAAACATTAACTTTCCCTTTCAATAAACGAATAGAAATTGGTAGTACAATTATCTTAGCTATCTTGTGTGTGTATGTATATGTGTGTGTGTGTATAAATATACACATACACACACACATTTTTCCCTTCTTTCTTTCTTTTCTTTCCCTTGTCCCAGTTGTTTTTTCCTTTTGAGCAGTTTCTTTCCCTCTCACAATATGTGTTGTACCTTTCAGATTTTGTTTACTCTTTCAGATTCTTACACTAGGGAGACAATACGATGTTTATACATGTGAGTCTGATTTATTTTACTTATGAGTATGGTCTCTAGTTGCATCCATTTACCTATAAAAGCCTCGAGTTTATTTTTCTTTATAGCTGAGTAATATTCCATTATATAAAAACACCACATCTTTTTTATCCATTCCTCAGTTGATGGGTATTTGGGTTGTTTCCAAGATTTAGCTATTATAAATTGTGCTGCTATAAACATGGGTGCACATATATCACTGTGGTATGATGTTTTTAGTTCTTTTAGAAAAATACCCAAAAGGGAAATGGCTGGGTTGAATGGGACCTCTAATCCTAGTTTACTGAGGAATCTCCATACTGATTTCCACATTGGTTACATCAGTCTACACTCCCCCCAACAGTGGAGAAGGGGTTCTTTTTCCCTACTGCCCTGCCAGCATTTGTTATTGATTGATTTTTTGATGATAGCCATTTTTTCTATGAATATATCATTTAACTAGTTATCCACATTAATATTTTGAAAGCATTATCAAACCATGTGTTCCTCTCACAAAAAAAGACTTGGTAAATAAGTATTGAAAAAAAAAGCATCAAATAAGTGCACAAAAAAGCATCACAGCCTGATCAAGTTGCCAGCCACTCTGGCTGCTTAACTTACAGCAGTGATGTCTTTTTCCTCCAGTCTCTAATGTGCCTTCCAGGCAACTGTAGAGTGTGTGTGTGCTTGTGCTCATGCTTTATTTTTACAATTTTCATGGTACTATTACTTTATTCCTTTCTCCACTGCCTGTGAGGTCAGTTTTGGGTCCATAGGCTAGCTCGTAAAGGTGTTCATGTCTGCTTCTCGGTCTCTGTAGCTACAGTACAGAGGTCATTTGGTGAATATTGGATGAGTGAATGAGTAGTGCAGAAAATGTTGGTGTTTTCCTGCTCAAGGGCAGTATTACGTTTTCATTCTGTAGGTATTGTGTCTACTGTTTATTTCTCAATACTTTCATTTTTAAGTTATAATGACATAAAGATTATAACTGTAGCTGTTTTTAAAATTCTGATTTTCCTTATCCCAGGATATGGATTAAATTTTGTTTTTCCAAGTTCTAACACCCAGTATCTTCAGAGTGTGAGTGTATATGAAAAAGGGGCCTTTTAAAAAGGTTACTAAGTTAAAGTGAAGGCATTAAGTGCAGGTTAATCCAAATAACTGGTGTCAGTAAGATTAGGACACAGGCACATACAATGGGAAGAGCATATGAGGATAGGGGAAAAAACTAAGGAGAGAGGCCTCAGGAGGAGCTGATCTTGCCATCACCCTGATCTTGGGCTTCTTGACTGCAGAACTGTGAGAAAATACGTTTCCATTGTTTAAGCCATCTAATTTATAGTATTTTGTTATGCCGTTTTAGCAAACAACATAGGTAGTGTGTTTAATTCACTAGGGCTTTTAACTCCTATATCTAGGCACTTTATCCTGGGAAAAGGGTGGACCTAATAATGGTTCCTCTCCTCCCATCTCATATTTCTTTGACATGTTTGAAATTTGTTCTGAGAAAACAGAGCCATCCTTATCTTTTCATAGTAGAAAACATACATGATGAGCTACTCAAAGAGTAATTTACCCCATCCATTTCTTTTAAAATAATTCATCCCCATTTATTGCATTGATTTAAATAGATAATGCATAGAATATTTTTCATACTGTCATTTTGATAGCTAGAGTACAGTAAGTTCCCATGGCTGTGGAAAACTGTGCCAACTGCAGCTTCAAACTTGCAGAGAAGATATTTACTGCAGTGAATTTATGTGCTGTTTTACAGCACCTTCCTGGAGGTTCTGGCTGTAGAAAAAAAAACACTGAATCACTAAATTTGGTTTATTCATATTTTCCTAGAGCTGTTTCACATTGCTGTGTTGTCAAACTCAAAATGCTGATCTCCTACGTCCTTAACCTCCACCCCCATCCAGTCTTGTATCCCACTCCTCTATAGTGGTTGTTGTGGAACTAGGGGATTTGAATTTTACTTACCAGTTCAGATCTTTTTAGTTATGCCAGATTACATAACCATCTCAGACTGGTCAGAGACCTTGAGAAGGTCCATTTGATCACCTTCCTGTATTATTAGGTGGATAGGAGTCCATTTTAGAATCTAGAAAGAGAGCCTACAATCCTTTTTTGAGAACCAACAATTTAATTTCTAGATTTCCTTTTCTTTTCTTTTTTTTTTGTACCAGGAATCGAACTCGGGACCTTGCGCTTGCCAGGCAGGCGCTTGTGCTGCTGTGCTATAGCCCCAGCGAATTTCTAGATTTCTTCTTTATTCTTCATGCTACAATTTTCAACTCATCTCTTATTCTATTGTGTAGAGGTAAAGGAGCAGTCACCCTGTTTAAGTGCTTATGCATAGGCATTATTAAATTGCCTTTCTACGTTCTCTTTTTTAAATTGAGCTTTATTGGTTCTTCAGCCATACAAGACTTGTGTAAAATTTTTAATTATGTATAAGAATTGTCATAAAAGCTGTCCGGGTTTTTCACAACTGTCTTTGATAGTGAATCCAGCAGTGGTTGAGCATTAGTCACACAAGGAGACAGTTTCTATACTCGGTTCTGTAAATATAAATCTTCAGCGTTGTAGTGTCCTGCCATTTTTCATTTCTGTTTTGCTAACCAGAATGCACAACAATTAAGCAAAAGAAAATTATAATTTTCCCCATGACAAAAGGTAATTAAAACAGGTGAGTGGTAAACAATCTTTTGACCTTATAAGCATTGACAGATTCAGAGAGATTAGAAATATATCCTACTGACAAGGACCAAATCCAAGAATTGTTTGTATCTACTTGTAGTTTTAGCATAACCTGTAACTAATAGCTTGTTAGAAGTCATTTAATTTTTTCTATATTATTCTATTTATTTCTGAAATTAAGGAAGGAAGAGATCAAGGTTAGATGATCTCTAAGTTATCTTCTAGCCCCAAAATTACATATTCTACTGCTAATAATGATAATTAATAAATTATGGCTGTTAGCAAGTTAAGTGTATTTGGCCCTAATAAGATTAATTTGTTTGAAATATATTATGCATTGCCTACTATGCTGGCAATATAGTGATAAGTTGGACATCTTTCAGATTTTGTATCTTATTGGGGGAAAAGACCTAAAAATAAGAGTAGTTGAGTATTACTGGGGCTGTTATACAAATTCCTTTAAGGCATATCAGGGCACAGTGGCCAGTTTGAGAGCAGGAGCATTGGGGAAGGGCCTGTGGTGAAAGGTGCTGATAATGATGCTGAGATACAGCTCTGTGGTGTGCAAGGCTGTACACCTGGGTTGTACCCTGGGTTCAGTCCCCACCACCACAGAGAAAGACAGGGGTCGGGGGGGAGAGGGGAATGGGGAGAGAGAGAGAGAAGAGGGAGAGAGAGCACGCAACTTGAAGACCTGAGCAGTGCAGCTGCAGTACAGTGATGAGGCAGCAGCTTGATTGTCATGGCTAAGCTTGTGGATGAGGAAGTGGAAACAGTGGCTCCTTTTTCCTGAAGAACTAGAATATAAACAGAAAATAATGGAAGAGGAAACAGATTATAGGAGTTGGCTTTTTAAATATGGGAGTGAAGAGCCAGTGTAAATGTTTTTGGGAAAAGAGCATTAGAGAGGTAATGTTTGTTCTAGAAGAGATGTAATGAAGAACAAACCTAGGAACAAGGGTGAGGAAACAGGGATAGGTGAATGGGTAGATATATATGATAACATAAACACAGCAAAGTACTACACCGCGAAATATTAGTTATAACATCTAGAAAGTACAATTCCTTCCATTTCTGCATGTTTTAAAATTGTACAGTATTGGAATTATTTTGTAATTTTGGGGAGAAGAAGAACATAGATTGAGAGTTTGATCTTAAACTTGTTTACTCCTTGTTATGGCAGGAAATTATGCAAGGTCCAGGTTGATGCGTTCACAATGTGACTGTAATCCATGTGTCTCGCTGCCTGGCTTTTACCACCAGTGCTACATGCATGACTGTCCCACTGGGCAGCTTCTTGTTAATTTCATTAGAAAAAGACCAGTAAAAGTGCTTAGATCTGTTGGTACCACTAGTAGCCACTCAGCGGGACAATCATGTATATACCACAGGTGGTTCAAGTTGGCAGAACATATTAAAGCCTTTCTTCTGTGGTAAAGTAGGAGTCACTGTCCCCTGCTGAGACCAACAGTCAGAACAAAAATATTGAGAATGAAAAATGGAATAATCACTGTGGCAAGTCGGAGGGGACTGAGTGGAACTGGGCTCAGGAGGAAATGGTGGTGCTCTGGTTCCGGTAAAGTTTTCTGCAGTTTTCCTTTGTAGTCATCAAGAGACTGTAGGTGAGCAGGAGCACTGATGGGCTGTAAAATTTAAGAAAGGGAAAGGAGAATGAGTAGATGGAATGAACGATTCCCTGCACTCCTTACCAACAGTCTTTCCTTCTGTATGGAGAATTCTTTCTGTTCTTTTGTTCTTTCTATTTGAATTACATGAGCTAAAAACAATATTATAAATCTTATTACTATTATTTAACTGATTTTTTGTTGTCTTCCTTAGGTAAAAGAAGAACGGCCAGAAAAAATACCCGATTTAAAATTATTAGTGGAGGAGAAATTTTTGGCTTTGCAGAGTAAGAATTCTGATGCAGACTTTCAAAATAATGAAAAATTTGTGCAATTTAAACAACAACTGAAAGAACTACAGAAGCAATGTAAGTCAGCATGCTTTGCTTTGGTTTGACTTGTTAAAACAAGGGAACTGACTTAATCTCAGAAAACTGATGCTATAGAGTTTGCTTATCTGCTTGGCTTGATCTTCTTCTTAAGTTGCTTTTTATTATTGTTGCAGTTCCGTATTTTGTCTAACTTTTGGTTCCAACCGCCTCCATTTTTGAAAGCCTGCAGTTCCCACAAAGTACTAAGAAAATTCCCCAGCACCTAAGGAAAGTTACATGTAATGTCCCACTATTGGGGAGGGGACTTAGAAAACAATATAAACCTAAAAACTATTTTATTAGATTAACAATGGCTTTTTTAGATTTTTAAAAACCTTGTTGTACCAACCTTTTAAAATAACTATTACCCTGGTTCTAGTTTTAGTGCTTTGGAGTAGTATTAGTGGTTTTCTCAGCTGGGTTTTTTCTTGTTTGTTCGTTTTCTCAAGTAGACAGCAAAACACCTTTGATAGTTTATCTTTGTGGTAGTATAAATTTCATGGAATTATTAAGTTTGTTTCCTTCTTAATAAACTGTTACTACATTTAGATTTTTTAATGAACATAATCTTGATGAGAGTGAGGAAAATAATTTATTTTACTATGCAAAAAATGTTCGTAGACAGGATTTGCCAGAAGTAGTTTATCTTTTCTGCACAATAAAGTAAATATATCCTTTCTTTCCCCATGAAACATGGCAATATATAAATTGATTTCTGTGGTAGCAAAAATTCATTTCTAGTCTTTCTTTCATGATTAAAATTCTTCTATTCCTTAAAGAATAGTGAAACAACTTTTTTAAACTTATTCTCTCATCACCTTCATCAACATACATATGTAGTAAGGATGTTGTGTGATACGAGATATAATTCATTTCATGCCCTTAATATATACTTAGAGATTCATATTTGGAAATAGGCTTTCTTTTAAATGTAAGCATTTTCTTTAAATTGATGCTGAGATCTCAAAAAATGACTAAGGAAGCTGCTTTACTGTTGTCTGTTTTACAAATAACTTGTTTCACAATTTGCAGTGTTTTGCAATCATTGTGAGACTCTTGCTTGTACTGTCAATTTCAAGAGTAAGCATTTTGCCTATACTTAAGTTCTATTTTTGTTCTTCATTGAATATCATAGCTGCCAAAATCTTTCTGATGTAATTGGCATCATCCCCCCAAATGGCTAGTAATCCCCCCCAAAATGGCTAATAATCTTTCTGATCTTTACTAGTGAATTTGTTTTGATGTTGGTCAAAATAGCCAAATATATTTTATTTAATACTTGGAGTCAGTACTCACATTGTGACAGACTTAGCATCCAGTCATTCTTGCTTTTTAAGATAGTTTTAATACAGATTGAAGAATACATATCCAACAATATAAAAATATAAATTTCTTCTCCCTTTATTATTGTTCTCCATTATTATTCCTTAAGAGAATTTACAGACTTTTAGGAAACATTTTCCTGAGGAAACATTTTCTAATTAAAAACACAATTCAACAAAATAATAAATATTGGAATCATGGTTATTGTTTCTTTAATTTTCTCTAAAATGTGAAAGGGAGGGAGCAGGTGGAGGGGGGAGAGAAAATAAAAAGGAAAGAGAGGAAAAGGTTTCTCACATCATTCAAATAGTTAAATCTAATGACAAAAGTAAATTTATATCGAAAGAAGCGCTTCCTTATGTAAGGCTTCCCCATATATTGTAACCCTGGAATTAAAAGAACTTTCCCTTTAATTTCCCCAAAATATTCCTTTAAAAATCTTAAATTAAAAAAAGGAAAATTCTTACATTTTAAATGACGGAAGATATTAATACTCTCATAAAATGCTCTTGTAAGATGTACGTACCTTACATGCAAAGTGAAATACTTTGTGCAGTATTATGAGTGCTGTCAGCTGACTTGCATCATTCCTGTGGAGTTGATTTTAACTGTGCTGCAAGGGTCCCAATTAGGATTGGACTCCTGCAGTGTTTGTGGATCCAGGTCATAGGTACACTGTGATGAGCTAGTGAATCTGTTTTGAGATGTGTTCTGGAGAGAGGGAGTTACAGAAGTAATTTTTTGGTTTTAAAGATTGAAAAATACGAGCCCAGGGGAGAAACTTGCTTCCAAGTGTTGTGTCTGGCAGGCAGCCTCAGGCGCTCCCTTGTGAGCCTGCCTGCTGTAGCTCAGCAGCTGATTCTCAGACTTTCTGGCCCCGTGGTCCCTCACACTCATTTTTCCTCAGTGGTCCGGGGGACTGAACCACTGAGCTGTGCCTCTGCTCTCTTTATTTCTGAGAGAAATAAAGTCTAGTTAAGTTGCCCAGCTAGAACTTGAATTTTTTTTTTTTTTTTTTTTTTTTTTTTGTACTTGGAATTGATCTCAGGACCTTGCGCTTGCCAGGCAGATGCTGGTTGCCTCTGAGCCATATTCCCGGCCCATGCACTTGAACTTTTGATCCCCCTGCCTCAGTTTCCTGAGTTGCTGGGATTATAAACTGTGCCACCCGACTCAGCCTCTTTTTACATTCTTAAAATTTATTGAGAGTCCCCAGACAGCTTTTGTTCACGTGGGTCATATCTGTTGGTATTTATCATATTAGAAATCAAAGCTGAGGATTTTTGGCAGAGAGGTGAGACAAGGTCTCACTCTGTAGTTCAGGTTGGCCTTGAAATCACTATGTAGCCTAGGCTTCCCTTAAACTTGTGGCAATCCTCCTGTCTCAGCCTCCTGAGTATTATAGAGTAAACTTGGAATTATAAAGTATGCACCACTGAAGAATTTTTTTAAAATATTGATTGATTAAAAATACCAAGCCATTGCATGATAAACAGATTTAATGTGAAATGTAACTACATTTAACAGTTACTGAGAAGAGTGGCATGGTTTTATACTTTTGTAGATCTCTTCAATTTCCAGCTTAGAAGACAGGTAGACCCTCATATTTTCTTCCGTATTTGGCCTGTTGTAATACATTGTTTTGACTAAAATAGACAAAAAAATGTGGTCTTATACCTTGGTTGTTGGAGGACCTGCACAGCAGTAGAAATGGGCCTTTGCACCGAACTCTATCCCCAGCCCTTATTTTTATGTTTATTTTTCATTTTGAGGCAGAATCTTGTTTTGTTACCCAGGTTGGGGTCAAATTTATGATCCACCTGCCTCAGCCTGTCAGAATGCAGAGATTATAGGCTGCACCACCATACATGACTGGGAATGATTTTTATATTTTTAAATTGTTGGTGAAAAAAATAAAAACATTATATTTGGTGACAGAAAAAATAAATAAAAATCTGATTTCAGTAATTGCAGTTCTCAGGAGGCTGAGGCAAGAGGACTGCCATGAGTTCAAGGGCAGCCTGGGCTACATGGTAAGACCCAGTCTTAGATAGATAGATAGATAGATAGATAGATAGATAGATAGATAGATAGATAGATAGATGGGTGGAAGGATGGATGGATGGATGGGTAGATGGATAACAGATAGATAGATAGATAGATGATCAGGTTCCTGCCCCTTGTCAGTTTATCAACTAAGCTAATTTATGGACTTCAAGTATGTTTAAGGGCCTAGAGGAAAAGAAGCATAAATAAACCTAGAGACTATTTTATGGGTAAACCTAGAGAATATGCCTTGGGCAACTTTGACTGTGTCCTTGAGTTGCAGTTACGATTTTCCTTGTCTCCTTATCTGTCTTTATTTCTTCCGTCCTACCTCAATGGCACAATGGAATAGTTACATCATAGATAAAGCTTATAATACATGCTATCCAACGCTTTACAGAAAAACTATACTGATCCCTGATCAAAACCATATTCATAAACAAGAATAATTTCTTGAATTTCTTTTAATTTTAGATTTTTTTTCCCCCTAAATGCCATCCATTTGTCTCAGATATGTTCGGAATACTGAGCTGCCATTGGATATGTATTACTGCAGTCCATGCTCTAAAATGAACAACATGCAGGAACCCTGTACTTGAAGAAGACAGTGTATGCAAACATGAAATAATGTGAGAGCCATTAATAACAAATATCAACTCAAACACTAGATTTCATCTGCGGTGCTCATTTTGCCAGTCATCCGCAGGGACTCTGGAGCAGTGGGTTCACAAAACAGTTCTGAGGCTGGCTGAGGCCCTGCAGGAAGGAATTTCAGTGGAACAATACAGAAACTTTGCATTTATCATCCCTAAAGTACAGACCTAACACATATGCTGTACTGGTGTAAAGATATTATTTCACTAAAGGTAACATGTTAGTTGTACTTAATAGTTTTTAGTGGTTACATCTTACAGTTATTACCACGTTAGATCAATTTCTCTGAACAAATCATTTTTATCCATTCAATACCCAGTGGTTTACATATTAGAGAAAATTGCAATAGCCTCTCTGTGTTTCTCAGGATTATTACCTACCTTGAAGACAGACAGTGGCTGTGTGCATATCCCCAAAGCCTGCTTTTGATTTCTTATCATCAGGAACACTTGTACAGCTTGGTGGAAAGAACATGAGCTTAGCCACTGGAAGAGCTGCGTTTGAGTCACCCAATATGTAGCTTGGTCTCTCTGCAGATACCGTCTGTTTTTCTACTAATTCTTAGGGTAGTGGAAAATCAAGATTGATTGAAGATAACTTATAATTTCAACAAGTTACTAGGATGGTGATCATGATAACTGCATTAGGCAATGGTTTCACAAAAAGAATTGTTTCTCTAAATAGTAATTATATTCTTACAAGATATGAAATAAACAATGTGCTTTTATTTAAGGCAGGTACATTCAGACTTTCTTGGGCAAAGTAATTTTAATTTTTTTAAATATGTTAAGGCAGTTTTTTTTTCCTTGTCTTAAACTGCCTCCACTACTGCAAATCAGTTTCTTGCCACCTTAACCTAAGAAGAACTTAATTAGAATGTGTGAACAGCTCTCTATGGATACTTTTTCAAGTCACCAAGCAATATTTCTGACATTCTCTATTCATTTATTTACCTGTTATATGAGTAGCAGGCA